TATATTATAAACTAAAATCCCGTGTGGGGTTGCTAGTCCCCCATCGGGCGCCTCCCCAAGCGGATTGGGGAATGCTCGCCGGCAACTGCAGGAGGGTACCGGGAAAATAAAATACCCGGGGTGGACCAAACTAGCAAAAAGAAAAAAAAACTAAGCAATGGACAAAACAAATTCAGGATCGATTACCCCAGGTGGTAGACCAGGCACCAATCTGGAAAATCCACCGGAGGCAGGCCCCATGGATTCTGGGGGGGGGGGGCAACTATTGCTTACAAAATTAAATGATATAAACAACTCTACGAAGGAGCTTACTTCGAAACCGGATGTAAAGGCTTTTCGTCAAAAGGGCCCTACATAACATGGTCTCAACAACATCCTACCTTTAAATAGACCACGCTCTTCTTCTATCACCGGATTTCCTACAATAGATCAACAAACTCATACAAATCACAATCCTCTAGGAGCAGCATCAAACGAAGTCGGTAACATAGACAAAGAAATCCCCTGGAAGATAGTACAAGACAAGAGAAAGAGGATGCCAGGAAGCCCTGAAACATCTTCAAGGCATGTACAAAAGCAGTCTAAAGTTAATACTTACTGGCTGGGCAAACCGGTGCCGACATCAAACAGTTTCTTCCTTCTCGACAATGATGAAAAACCAGATGCAAACCCTGAACCTAAGGATAGACCAAAGAAACCTCCACCAATCTTTGTAGATGGGGTCAGTAATATACAGCCACTCATCTCGCTATTAAATGAACATGCAAACGGACACTATGAAATTAAAATCCTTCGCAACGTACAAGTCAAAGTGCAGCCGAAATCTTCCGAAGCGTATTCAAAAATTGTGAAGCAACTAGAGATTAAACAAACTGAGTTCTACACTTACAAGCAGAAACAGGAAAGGGGCTTTAAGGTCGTATTGAAAAATATGCATCCCTCTACAGACACAAATGAAATCAAAATGACGCTATCTGATCTCTTTTTTTTTCGCTGTGGAAACCATCATGGTACCCCCGCCCTCCGGGTAGAGGACGTGGGTTATGTGGGACTCCTTGTTCCCCTTGGCCGATCCACGAATGGATCGGCCAGGGGGCCCAAGACTTACCGCACTAAAACCACAGCGGGTGCCTTCGCTGGCGCTTATAGGGGTGGCTGGGAACTGCGTTTGCATGACTTCCTGCTACCCCACGGCCTTACCTTTCTCGGGAGAGCATCTTTCCCGGAGGAAAGATACTCTCCCCCCGCGAATGTCATCGTGCGGGACCTACCCGATTGTGGCGCAGCGGGGCACCGCCCTCATGCCACGCCCTCCCAAAAAGTTTGGAGGGCGGGTTCACGGCTCGAGTGTTCCCGCTCGAGCCGCCACCCACCGCTCCCGGAACGAGACTCCCTCCCTCTCCCAAAGGGAGATGAGATTTGGTCAGCGTTCCGGGCGCCCTACTTCTGGGAGTTCCCCTCCAGAAGGGGGGGGGCAACCCGTCCGCAGGCAGTGGGGCCCTCCCACCACCGCTCTAAGGCACCGGTGAGAGGGCCCCCGACTGCCGCGTCCCTACCCGGGGGGCCACGTGCAATGGGACTCCTAGCGAGTCCCTGTGGTCCCCCTGCCCCCCGGCCACGCTTCCCTCTTTAGCGGGATTCGACCATCGGCCCAAGGGCATTGCCGAGGCCCTCCCCCAAGGGAGGAACTCGGCATGGGCGGATCCAGGTGCCGCCCGACTCCAAACCGCAGGGTTTACGCCGTGCGGCCACCAGCCGGGCGACACTCGCCCCCGCCCTCCTCCTTAGACTGCTCCGCCCTAACGGGCCTCCTCTTCCACAACCGGATGAGGAGGGCACCGCGCCCCTCGCCCAACCTCCCTCTACTACTTCGCCCTATCCGGGGGGCGTCTTCTTCTCCTGCGACAGGGGGTTCTGCCTCCGCGTCCCCGCCTCGGTGGGCCGTCCCCGCCGCCGCCCCTTCTACCACGGGCACCCTCTCTCCCTCCCGGTAACGGTCCCCCAGGGCCCGACCCGCCCCCGGCCACCACCACGGCAGTTTTTTCGCCCAGGCAGCCAGGAGGGGTCGTCCCTCTCTACCCGGGATTCAGGGTGAAAGGGAGTCTCCCCCTTCTTCCCCGTCGCTCTCGCTCTCTTTCGGCCTCCTCCTTCTGCAACATGACACTGGTGCAGAAGAAGGAGACCGCCTCCCAGGCTTCCTTGCTCCCGACCATCTTTTGGATGATGGCCGGGAGCGATAAGTCGTTCCCTATTTTTTCGACAAGGACACGGCGCTCGTCTGCCCACGCTGGACAAAGTTCCAGCGTGTGCTGCGCCGTGTCCCTGTCTTCGTCGCAGTGGTGGCATTGCGTGGTGCGCTCCTTCCCTATTTTGTGCAGGTACTCGCCAAAGCAACCATGCCCGGCGAGCACCTGCGTCAGATGGTATGACATCCGTCCATGGGACCTGCTCACCCACTCTTCAAGCACAGGTCCCACGGCCCCGACGACCCTATTTCCCGAATTGGATGGAGGGATGTTCCTCAGCCATTCCCCCATTCCTCCAACAGGCGTCGTCGGGTCTGACTTCCGACAATGCCCCGAACCCTCTCCGTAATTTGGTAACCCTCCCCACGAAACTCCTTTATTCTGACATACGTCCGTTTATAGGCGCATGCCTGAAGCTCCATTGGAGGCAATCCCGCAAGGGTCGAGGCCGCTGCATGCGACATCGTCCTGTAGCCGCGGACAAAGCGTGTGACTATCCTCCTCTGTATTCGTCAGAGGACGTCTTGAATACGCCTTCTAGCCACCGCCTCGTCCGCCCAAACTGGTGACCCGTAGAGAGTCACCGAGTTGACCACTGCCGCATACAGCTTGCGCACACGGTCGTCCGGCCCCCCTAGGTTGGGCAGCAGGCGGCTGAGTGCCGCCGCTACCCCATTAGCCTTCTCCGCCAGACGACCGAAATGCACGTCGAAACGCCAGGCACCGTCTAGCCAAAGCCCCAGGTATTTCATACTAGGCCCCAGCCGGACGGGGATGACATCCACCATGACGTGGGGTCATGGTGGATGGCATCCCCGTCCGGCTGGGCCCAGTATGAAATACTTGGGGCTTTGGCTAGACGGTGCCTGGCGTTTCGACGTGCATTTCGGTCGTCTGGCGGAGAAGGCTAATGGAAGCCACCAGAGACCCATCTCTGGTGGCTTCCCCCGAGAGCCATCATGGAAAAAGATGACCTCCGTTTTATGAAGAGCCACCTAGAGACCCAACTCCTTTATTGCGCGCACCACGCATGCCACCGCGATATTCGCCATACCCTTCGCTTCCCCCCAGTCGTTCCCCTCGGCCAGGACTATTGTGTCGTCTGCATAGCAGACGACACGACAGCCAGGGGGAGGGCAGAACGCAGCACGGTGTCGTATGTGATGTCCCATAGCAGCAGGCCCAACACTGACCCCTGCGGGACACCACACGACACACTCCTTCCGCAAAAAGTACCGGACTTGTCCCGGTACTCTAGGCTCCTGTCCCGGAAGTAGGCCTTAATGACCTCCACGAGATATTGAGGGGCGCTGTAGTCTGATAAGGCGCCCCTTATCCTTCCCCAGGGCAGGGTGTTGAAGGCATTGGCAATATCCAACGCCACGCCAACAACAACCCTGTCCTTTTCAGCCTCGGATTCCGCGAACTGACGGACACGCAGAATTGCGTCCGTCGTAGATCTATGTTCGCGGAACCCGAACTGGTCCTCGTGGAGGTCAGGCCCCACTTCCTACATCCGCCTGACTAGACGGTCGGCAACTATTCGCTCAAATATTTTGCCGATCTCGTCTAGCAGGCAGATGGGCCTATATGCGGAAGGCGCTCCGTCTGTTCTGCCCCCCTTTTTGGATAAGGCATAGTTTGACCTTACCCCAGACTGGGGGGAATTCTCCCAACCTCAGACAATCGGTCAGCAGCCGTCTAATCGGTCCCGATAGGTGTATCAAGGCATACAGCCAGACCCCGCCGGGAATGCCATCCGGCCCCGAGGCTTTGTTGCCCCGGACCCTGAGTCTTCTGGCAATCCTGGCCAATTCCGCACCAGACACCTCGTACTCCTCTTCCCACGCGGCGGGTTCCCTTACATATAATTCGGGAACCCTTTCGCATTGTGGGAAGAGGGTCGAAAGAATATTTTGTAGTACGTCGGTGTCCAGTGCTTCCGTCACAGGGGGCACCTCCGCAGCTTCTTCATAACTACCTTATACGGACGCCCCCAAGGGTTGGCATTGAGGCCCTGAAGTTGTTCGTCCCAGGACCTCGCCTTTGATACACGGATGGCGGCGCACAGAGCCTTACGGGCAGATCTATATTGCTCGTGCGCCTCAGCCATGCCCTCGTCATCGTTGCCGAGGCCTCTCCTTCTCATTCGCGTAAAGTGGCGTCTGGCCTGGACGGAGGCGCGTCTCAAATCAGCGATCTCCTCCGTCCACCAGTACGCCGCTCTTTGCGGCCTCGGCTTGGCTCGGGGCTTGGAAGCGTCGCACGCCTCCTTCATTATTTCCCCGAGCCGTGCCACGTGGTCCGATATCCCTTTTGGTTCATCCACCTCAGTCCAGGTGGCAGAGAGCATGGCTGCCACCAACCTATCGGCATCCAACTTCTTCAGGGCCCACCTTGGGGGTAGGTCCCCCCCTTGGGCGCGGTT